TTACCTAAACTACAGTATAACATTTTAATCGTGTCATGTTCAATTTACCGGGCGGTGGATAGGGGAAATTATATCTAGGGTCTGACAACGTCTGATTGAAAATGCGTGCATTGTTTGCGCTGCCTTCCCATCCCGCTAGAACAAAAGTGAACTTCAGGTCAAAATCGCACGCCAACATCACATTTTGTGCCAAATACCCTTTCCTACATCTGTAGGAACCCTGTTGTCCTTCTGGCACCCACGTAATAGTCCCGTCAATTGCACCAATGCAGTCCTACGAATAACAGATAGTATTTCAACAATCGAGGTACTTTTTGTTCAAATTAACGGTGTAGGACACATTAAAAAATGAAAAGGTCCTGAATTTACCTTGAAGTAAGGATATAAATTCCGGTTATTTCTTATCCACGGTGCAACACGGTTGAAGTCTGGGGGACGAATGTAGTCGGAGGCGAGATAACAAAGAGCATTGATGACTTTGTGACAATGACGACTGATTGTCTCTCCTGATTTTCTGAATGTTTCAGCCGCAAATCGTTGCCTTTGATGCCCTTTTATTGTATGCAGAAAAATGGCTACGCTTTCTTCAATGCCTATTTTTGTTTGTCTTCTTTTGGGGTGGAATCCAGCCCTTTTGATTTCGTCACAAAGGATGGTGAAATGACATTGATTTATGCCCATTGCATCTTTAAATCGACGTGGATTTCCAGCTAACAATTCATTTACCCAGTCCAAACCCGAGTACGTGGATTCTCGGTAGGGGATTCTTCTTAATGGTGGAAATGCGGACGAAGAACTCTCGTATATGTTTACAAGTTGTTGAAATTGTGCCCCCATCATTAACGAAGCTTCAAACGGGTCATACTCTTCCACGGTCTTGAACTCGTTGTCGACATCCTCAGGCAAATCATCGATGTCCTCTTCATATGTGTCGCTATCATCTACGTAAGACATCCTACAAATAAATATATTAATGGCGAAAAACACATTTACAAATGTTAACAAACAAATTGTCACATAGTCATGCAGTAATAAAAAATCTCAATCAGAGTAGTTTGGAAACAATGTTCAAACATAGTAGAGTTGATGACAAATAAACAGAGAAGTCCAACAACAAATGAAGACGATAGAAGAAACCAATCCACATCCACATTCACTGTGGACCGGGGCCCTCATAATCCACATATTAATAATATGTTGACGCCTCTCGTCACTAGTAATCGCGGCAAACATGGCTCGATTCGTGGGATCCCGAAGCTTAGTGCAAACAAACTGGAAAAGATCTTCGTCCATATTCGACATTGCTTGAAGGTCGCGCATTGCCTGTTCCATCGTCGTTAGCTTCGCGGGTTTGTTGTTTCTTTCTTTCAGCGACACATTCAAGTCAGACCACGAGTACATGGCGGTGTCGAAACTGGACTCTGTGCTTCTCCTTCGACGAACGGACCGATTCTGCCCACCATGCCGTCGATGAGATGTCGGGGTCTCCATTGGATCCTCCTCTTGCTGCGTACAAACATCGGGGCTGAAATTTCCAGATGGGTCACCACGTCCCTCGGGCACACGTTGAGTCGATGCCCTTGCTTTCGAGCCCGTAGCAGTCGTCCCATGGAAAATAATCGTCAACGCTTCGTAGTGCACGCATACCTTACCCTCCATGTCATGATAACTCGGATTTGCCTGTGGATGTCATGAAAGAATGAGAAATAGAGTGTACAGGCCACCCAAGCAGTACAGGACATATAAAATGACAGTCATTACTACAACAGAATCCACACTACAATCTGATATGAAATATTTCATATTTATATATAAAAAATAAAACAAAATAAAAAAGAAGAGGTGTATAGGCCACAGTAGTATCTCAAAGACAATTGAAGCAAAGAACACTTTCTGAGACAAGAAGGCAATAACAACAGGTGTAATTGCCACACATATTTACAACACCATTGAAGCAACCAACAAATAACAATTGTCAGACAAATTAAAATTGAACATAGGAAACAATTGTAACAAAACATAATAAAAAATACTTACGGTAGTCCATTTTGTAAAACAATCAGCGTCTCCCGTAATCATCTTTTTCTGTGGATCCCAACTCAATCCGGTGGCATTGGTTACCATGTTGTGAAACTTTCTCCAATACACCTTCATTCGTTGGTACTTACTTTGCAGTTGTGTCACTTTGTAAGGATAGAAAATGGGACACTGCTCCTTCAACTTCGCAAGAATGGTCGTCCATTGATTCGGTGTGAACTTACCGGTTACACGGTTTCCCATCAGAACTTCGTCCAACAGAACACTCACAAAAGCGGCTTCATTTTCGGGAGGCCATTTGGCGTCTCCTTGAGTGCTCTCAGACGAAGGACCAATACCACCCGAAAATGACATCTACAATATGGGAATTAACAAACAAAGTAGGAAATTGTATGCTATGCTTTAACATGTACAAATAACCTGTACTAATGGATAGTCGGGCAATCATAACTGCATTCCAGACAAAGAAAAAGAAAGGTACCATAAGAACAACTGCCACACTCGAAATTGGAGATTCACAGAATTACACAACATATTCCTCAACAATGAAGACAACAACACACGATTGGGTGTCGTCTTTTTGACCCTAGGTCATACCCTAATTTTTTTTTCACACTAAAACGAGGGCAGAAATAACCATCAACGAAGATTGTTGGGTGCCGTCTCTATTTACATAGCCCCAAATTTTGTATCGAAGGGTTGTAAGATCAAACATAACATAAACTTCAACAATGTTTGTATAACGAAATTAAAACAATCTCCTAACTACAAAAAAAGCCTTGTTTCCTTTTTGTCCCAATTTTTTCCATACAAACCAGAATAATTCCAAGCATGCGCCTTGAACTTGAACGATATTGTTCCATAATACAAATCAATGGATGGTAAGGAGGATATGATCTACCTTTGTCGGCCGGAGTCTCTTCTTTTTCAGAGATGTGACGGAGACGCTACCGGTGCTTTCGGTAGTGTCTTGAGCGGGGATATCGGGTCTACGTTCAGCGTCCGCTTCACGTGAGGTCGCAGGATGATTTCGTGGAGGGGAGAGATCCATAGACGCTGAAGCCCAATTTATGGAGGAGAATCTTGTGTTGATATGGTCCAGCTAACTTCGATTTGAAATCTGCAAGAAAAAAGTCAAAAAGATGGAGCATTGCAATGAATGTTGCATGAGGTGTTGGTGTATTGGGAGTGGGAAAAGCATATAATTCTGACGGATACAAGCTGTTGTTTGGTTTTTGTGGGCCACGAAAAAAACCCATCTTTGTGATATCCAATCACGGGTTCAATAGTGAAAACCAGCCCAAAGTGAGTGAAAATTAAGCCCAGTTCATATCCAGTCACGCCCTGAGGGATTGGAGAAGGGAAATTCCATTGTAGGACCTGATTTTTTTGTATTGTGTCATAATATGGTCTACTTTTTAAATTTTTTTAATTGAGGGTTTCACTTTTATCTTATTCTCAATATAAGTGCCTACTTTTACATTATACTTTTCAATTTAAGGCTACAAATCACTTTGTATTTTGGCATAATTATGTAAACCACAATAATTTTTTAAAAAAATATTTTTAAGCACTTGTAATAAATAGGATTAAATATCTTAATAAAATTATCTAATAAGATAATTTATTCATTATTTATATTTATCAAAAGCATAATGAAATTTATTTTAAAAGTTAAAAAAAATAACTTAATTTTAATCTAAATATGAGAATACATTAAAAAATAAATTATTTAGAAAAAATAATATAAAGTAGTTTTACTAAAGATATTTATAGTTATTTAAAATGTAAATTTGAAATAATACTATTTTAATTTATATATTTTAAAAATATAATGTTAGTTGATGTCTTAAATTGAGAGCTAGAATGTAAAAGTAAGCATTTTAATTGAGATTAACTTAAAATTGAAACCCTGAAATGCAAAGGTTGAAAATTCAGGCCTTATTGTGACACAATAACTAAAATCAAGCCTTACAATAGAATTTTCTGATTGGAGAGGAGTGTAAAGAAATGACCAAATATTTATTTTTACCCCGCTCAGAAGATGGAACAATTTTTACAACGAAACTAATTAGGGCTATCCTACGGTCAGGTAGCCTCTTTTAGCTTTGTAATGCCTAATATCATGTATGCCTGAAATGGATGTCAAGTGTCGCTAATTTTTTGTGTAAATACTAAAATACCCTTACTTAAAAAAACTTGTAATGAATTTACATAAAAGATCTCTAAATATTTATTTCTTAACATTGACCCTTGACATAATTACATTTTTCGATTAAAGCACCAAATATTTTTAAATTGCATATGAATTTATCTAACTCATTGAAATGCAAATAATATCTTTGTTCCAATTTTTTTCTGGGTAAATTTCTTTCGATTTTTTTTTTATTTCTTGATGAACTCTAATTTATTTTCTCTTCAAACATAATGAAGAAATCTTCTTCAAACGATGTTGATTTTTTTTTTTAAAAAAAAAATAAAAATCGTCACTTGAAATATGGATATCAAATTCGTCAGTAATGTTTGTTCAACCTTATGTCAAATATGCACTCACAAACACACACACACGATCAATTGTACGCACCAGAGGTGAAGGTAAATCATGAATCGATATGAACTTTCGTGTTCTTCATTAATGATATTGTCCAATCATTATTTTGTGTTCTTCATTTATGTTATTCATATTACCCACTATTCATTTCGTTGTGCATCAATGATTTATAATAGATGGTTACGAATAATTCTTGGACGTGTGTTTGTGGTTGTCAACCTTGATAATTCATTATATTGTTGTTTTATCCTTAATTAGCACATGTCATGTTCGGCATAATGTGTTAAAACAGGACCGCTTGCCTCATTAGTGATATGAATTTGGGGTTTAGGTGTTTAACCTAGAAAATTCTTTGATATTGTTGTCATATCTTTAACAAGAACATTATATGTTCGATAACATGTCATAACCAAGACCGCTTGTCTGATTAGTCATATAATATTGTTTATTCTTGTTGTAAATGATATGGAGAGCCTTCTCAAAGTCATGACGACTAATAGCACTTTCAATAATTACGTTCTATACTTGATAGAAGTCATGCTCATGTTTGAGGCCCATGAAGCCTGTACAGTAATATTTTAAAGTGTTGCAGGACTTTCAAGATGGGTAGCAGCTTGCTCCGAACAATCCTAGTGTTGGGTTGGTCAAGTGGTCGAAAAAACAATCCACCATTATAAAGGCTTTCTAGCTCGTTGGTCACTTGTTTCGAACAATACTAGTGTTGGGTTGGACAAGCGGCTGAATAAAAAATACACCATGGTTTAAGGCTTTTGAGCTGGGTGGTCGCCTGTTTCGAACAATCCTAGTGTTAGGTTGGGTAAGTGCCTGAATGAAAATTATCCACCATGAATAACGCTTTTGAGCTGGGTGGTGGCTTGTTTTTATAATCCTAGTGTTGGGTTGGGCAAGTGCTTAAAGAAAAAAAAAATCATCATGATTAAGGCCCTCGGGCTGGGTGGTCACTTGTTTCGAACAATCCTAACGTTGGGTTGAGCAAGTGCTTGAATAAAAAAATCCACCATGATTAAGGCTCTCGGGCTGGGTAGTCGCTTGTTTCAAACAATCCTAGTATTGGGTTAGGCAAGTGCCTGAAGAAAAAAAAAAAATCACCTTAATTAAGACTTTCGAGCTGGGTAGATGATTGTTTTGAACAATCTTAGTGTTGGGTTGGGCAAATACTCGAAGAAAAAAAATCTACCATTATTAAGGCTTTCGAGATGGGTGGTCGTTTGTTTCAAACAATCCTAGTGTTGAGTTAGGAAAATGGTCGAAGAAAATAATTCACCATGATTAAGACTTTCGACCCAGGTAGTCGCTTGTTTCCAACAATTCTAGTGTTGAGCTGGGCAAGTGTCTGAAGAAAACAAATCCACCATGATTAAGGCTTTCGAGCTTGGTGGTCATTTGTTTCGAACAATCCTAGTGTTGGGTTGGGCAAATGGTCGAAAAAAAAAGATCCACCATGATTAAGGCCCTCGGGCTGGGTGATCGCTTGTTTCGAACATTTCTAATGTTGGGTTGGACAAGTGCTTGAAAAAAAAAATCACCATGATTATGGCCCTCGGGCTAGGTAGTCGCTTGTTTCAACCAATCCTACTGTTGGGTTAAGCAAGTGCCAGAAGAAACAAAACTCACCATGATTAAGTCTTTCGAGCTGGGTGGTCGCTTGTTTCGAACAATCCTAGTGTTGAGTTGGGCAAATAGTCGAAGAAACAAATCCACCATGATTAAAGCTTTTGAGTTGGGCGGTCGCTTGTTTTGAATCCTAGTGTTGGGTTGGGCAAGTGGTTGAAGAAAAAAAATCCACCATGACTTTCAAGCTGGGTGGTCGCTTGTTCGAACAATCCTAGTGTTGGGTTGGGCAAGTGATCGAAGAAAAACACCCACCATGATTAAAGCCCTAGGGCTGGGTGGTCACTTGTTTCGAACAATCCTAGTGTTGGGTTGGGCAAGTGCCTGCAGAAAAAAAAATAAAAAAATTAAAAAAAAAATAAAATAAAAAACCACCATGATTAAGGCTTTCGAGTTAGGTGGTCGCTTGTTTCGAACATTCCTAGTATTGGGTTGGGCAAGTGTTCGAAGAAAAAAATCCACCATGATAAAGGCCCTTGAGCTTGGTGGTCGCTTCTTTTGAACAATCCTAGTGTTGTGTGTTGACATGGTTTTCAGTAAACCAAATTATCGAAGATTATTAGCACAAAGCTATACGAACTTGAGGATCTTGAGCTCACAGGCTTTAAGTGCCGTCACGTCGGATACAACGGGCTAAGAACCGACGTAGTTACTTGACAAATAGACAATGAAATCGCTGTCTTTATCCCTTCAACCGACATCTCTCATCAGTCAAAGCCTAGCTAACCAACATCCATAAAACGTTCTTATCGGCATCAAGAGGCGGTGACAGCTCAGCCCGTCATCATGATTGTTAGCCAGGTGGCGAACAACAAATCCAAGTGGCAGATGACCGCCTTTGACTTCACATTTGCATTAAATGCAATCACACCAACCTCGTACAGTGGACCACCGTCCTATAAATAGCAAGTTGGGCTCCCCAAAGAAGGAGAGAAGGATTCGATAATGACTGTAATAGACTCCGTAAATAATCTTGAAGAACATTCAATAAATACCGACGTCATCTTCACTTAAAACCGACGTCTTTTCTGTTCATTATATGATCTACGCTTAAATTACTTTCGTATATAATCGTTGTTAATCGTCATATAACAATAGTTTGGCGCTAGAGGAAGGGCCTTCATATTTGTTTGAGGTTAATCTTCGCTTTCACAGGCATTACTTGCGCGTATATGACCGTTAGAGCATTTCACCATTTGTCAAAATGTCTCAATCTGGGCGAGACCGCACTTTGCATGCTTGACAAAGCCATACTACTGATTATCTGCTGGGCATGCAACACGAGCAGCTCCCGCAACAAATATTACAAACTTTCTTCAAGACCCGGAGTTCATACAAGGTTTAACTTCTCTCATAGCCGTTGCAAACACCCTTGCCAGTAAATCCAACGGCGCAGCAAAATTCTCTTGTACAGAATCAAACAACTCATGCGACAACATCACACACTACTTCGCAGCCGCGTCAGGCTTCCCAACATCGTGAAGAACCAACTCGACCAACAGCAAATCCATCACCCAATAATCCAGACATTGGTGAGCCTCGGGATCAAGAAATGACCGCTAAAGTCATTCTGCTCATCATCACAGAACTCCTATACCTCAAAGGCCTTTATCTCCGTTACCTGAAGGCTGTGAAGATTTATGCTGCCAAATCGAACGGAATCGTTTGTCACGACATGGCTCCAAAGAATTAGAAGCTCTCTGAAAACGGTTGGCTGAACTAGAAACACGACAGAGGTCGCAGGAAGAATCTCCACGACACATCTCGAGCTTAGGTAACGTAACCATTGAAGTTGATTCACCATTTGCACCCGAGCTTACTGCGAAAACTCTCCCTGCCAAAATAAAGATTCTACAAATCGGCCTGTA